GGATGGCCTGATGGTGAATACATTTTCAACAATTTTTCAGTTTTGGGTGAAATAGTCCTGCAGTGCTATTTTATAGTATAAATAAGCCTACTATTTCACATGCTCCATATGGTCCTCTTCACTACTCCTAACGTTTCACAGATTTAGGAGCTAGTTTTTCTTTGTGAAATACTCTTAGAACAAACATTTAGGAGTCCTAAATAATTCCTAAATTATTTTTAAGATTTTCTCCTAAATTGGCAAGTTATGAGCTACTTTTAGCCTTAAAATGTTTTGTGAATACGGGCCTAGAGCAAAATGTGGGATCATGTTCTCTCAGGCAGTCAGATTAAGGCAGTTTATTCAAACCAGGAACGGTCTGTGCCGAAGGGAAATGTGTTTGACTGGAACACCATCAAATATGAGATTAATGGAAATGTGCTAGTGGTGAAAGATAACTGATTCTGATCAGGTGCCATCCACACGGTTGTGTTAATCTCTATAATCTGTTCATCTGTTTTAATGATTTACAAAGCTGTGAGGGCTAAAAAGTAATAGTTCATAATGATAGTAACAAGTAAAAGTTCTCTGCATTACAACTGCAGTGTCTGTTCATGATTTTGAAAGAGTTTTGTGTGTGTGTGTGTGTGTGTGTGTAGGCCATTTCCATCACAACCAACAATTTGCAACTAAAAAAATTAGTTGTAATCAACTGTATTTGTGTGCCATGGTGACAACACTGTCAATGAAGAGCTTAAATGTTTTATATTGAAGAAATTAAGTAAACTTGAGAACGTCCACCGGAAACGAGAGCTGTATTGTGGCTGAGCGGCAGGTAAACATCTGTATCTGCATCTCCTGCTGCACTGAAGTGGAATAACAAGCTCACTGAACAACGACAAACAATGCGTTTATCAGCCAATAATACTGAAGACCTGAACCCTCTAATGGTTGTCATCTCTTGTGGTTGGAGACTGCTTTAATTCCACTGTATGAGACGCGATTGATGTGTTTGGGGAAACTTGGTAAGGTTTAGAAATGTACAGGTGCGTATAGTTAAGTGCGTAGATGATTATGTTATATATCATGTTGCATTGGTTAAACAAACCGTTTCATATGTCATACTTTCAGAAAATACATCTCAAACATGATGGTTTATTTGAGTTTGAGCAAATGCTGGACGGCTTCACTTTCTATCCACTAGAGGGCGCGATTGAACCTCATATTCACCACAAGAGTCATTCAGTCAGGTAAAATTGATGATCAATATTTACCTCACTTTACCCTTAATGAAGGATGTGAAGACAAATTATTATTATTCAGACCAGGGCTATTACTAATACAATAAAAAATATTCCAGAGGTGGATAAACAGCATGTTGAAATGTTCTTGTGCCACGTACAGAATTGTCACATGAAAAGATATAATAAAATATTTACAAAAATGTGAGGGGTGTACTCACTTCTGTGAGATACTGTATATACATGTAGGCTATTTTACGTGTCTGTTAAAAATATTTTCTCACCATAATCAACAAATTAGATTATATGTATGTATGGATATATTTATCTATTTTATCTAAATTTTTTATTTCATGCCATCTGACTTAATGAAGAAGACGTCATAGCTATGAAAGGTCCTTCAATACCAAATTATATTGGTCTATAATTATTTTATTAAATCGGTGAACACTTGTTTGTTAATAAAATGTATTCATATAGAATTTTTAGACAATAGAAAATATTTAGCAATAATATTCTAATTAGGGTTTATGTTTTATTAATTTAATCCCACAAAGAAAACTCTGAACACACGTAGATTGTATTGTTGTTTTTATGAATTTATTAGACTTTTTTAAATGTATTATTTATTTATTTGTAATAATTTGTAAATGTTTTTTTTTAAGCCTGTCACTGTTAAGTTACATATTATAATTCTTCCATCCCAGTGTTGGTTTTTCTTATCAGAAATTTGAAATATATCTAACCATTTATCTTGGCAAATGTCAATCAGTTTAGTTATTTTACATTTGCTGTAGTCAACAAAAGATTTGTTCAGAGGTTAAATGTGTATGTTTAATAATTGAGACATTAATGTGCACTGACTTTATTAAAGAAATCTTCTCTGACAGTAGAATTATAATAATCATGTCTGTGGTCAGCAGCTGCATTTTGACACCTGTGTTTGTGGCAGGTGACCTTTCAGATGCATGTGCAAGAAAGCGGGTGAGAGGTTTGGGGTGTGTGGCCCGTCCCTGCAGCTTTGACCTTTCAGTGTGGAGGAGCTTCTGCTCAGGTACGGCTCACGGTCACAGTTCACCTTTATCACAGCAGAGCAGCACGTCAGGAGCAATACTGTACACCTGTAACCACTGTATCAACACTTACCCTACAGCCCTCCTAACCGAAACATTAACCTCTTTCACATAATCTGTCCAGATGTGTTTATTATGTGTGTTATGCAGTCATATACTGCATTTCACCTAAAAAATTTTCTCCACCAGAAGCAAAGATATTAACACAAGCGCTAATATATAATTTGATAATTTTATTGCAGGATGTTTTATGCATCTTCAATGAACACAAAATTCACACTGATGAAACAATAATGTGAGATTAGCAGTATCTTCCTTCAGTTTTATTATGTGAAACAATCATCTCTTTATAGCAAAGAAATCACTTTAGAGTGAATAAATGCAAAATAAATAAAATATGTTACAAATATGTCAGAAAATTCAATTAATATATCACAAACAAATATATTAAATAAATACATTTGTTGTTCCTTAACCCTTTTTTTTTAAATCAGGGTTTGTTTCATCCTGTAACTGGATTCATTATGTACAATGATTCCAATTTAATTAATCATAATTCACTAAATGTAAATTTTGATCATTAACTCAGTGCATGTATTTTGTCCTTCATATTTTTATTTTCTCCATCAGCTCTTTTTGGCATAAGGTGCTTCATTTTGATCTGTACTTGACTCTTCATATCCGTATCATCTTTTATGCAGTTCATTTAGTAAATCGTGTAGTGTTTTAATATAGTGTTAGATCTTAAAGTGCACTTTGGGTCGGTTTTTAAAAGAAGTCTCTTCTGCTCACCAAGGCTGCATTTATTTGATCAGAAATACAGTAAAAACTGTAATATTGTGGAATAGTATTACTATTTCAAACAGCTGGTTTCTATTGTAATATATTTTAAAATCTAATTTATTTCTGTGATCAAATCTGAATTTTCAGCATCATAACTCCAGTCTTCAGTGTCACATGATCCTTCAGAAATCATTCTAATATGCTGATTTGCTGCTCAAGAAATATTTGTATTATTATCAATGTTGAAAACAGCTGTGCTGCTTCATTTTTTTGTGGAAACTGTGATATCTTTTTATTTTTCAGGATTCATTGATGAATAGAAAGTTCAAAAGATCAGTTACTGTATTTGACATTTTTTGCAACATTATAAATGTTTAATGTTGTTTTTGATCAATTTAGTGCATCCTTGCTGAGTAAAAGTATTAATTTCTTTCAAAAAAAAAAAAAGAAACATAAATTCAGTCAAGTGCGTCCAAATATTTGTCTTGTATTGTAAATATGTAAATGATGTAAGTTCTTGTTTATTTTTCTTGTTCATGTTTGCTACACCATTGTGTCGGTGGTTGTTAACGGGCTGGTCGGACAAAGCGTGTCCAGATGTTGAATGGACGGAGGTCTGTTGGGTGTTTTGGAGCAGAGAAGGACACTTGAGTCGGCTTCACACTTCGTGGTTCTGCTGTGCCACAGAGCTTCAGCCGTCCCGGGCCGAATCGCCAGCCCACCGTCAGACAGCACCTCTGTCTTCACCACAGGCAGCTGGGACGGATTCAGTTTCATTAGCGCGTCCAGAGAGCGCTTCTGCCTTTCTTTAGCACCGCTTCCTCGTTCCACTGCATCTCTGTGGTATTTCCCATCCTCCTCTTCCTCGTCGTCTTCCGTCTCAGAGCAGTTTTCATCTCCTGTGTCTTTTGTCTGTCCTAGAATGTCTCCGGCGATGTTCGTGATTCCCGCCGGGTCTTTCTTGACGGATAGATCGAGCGGTCCTTCGTTGGAGCGGGCCGTGTGCTCCAGCGCCTGTTGAATGTGCGACAGCTCCGACCGGATCTTTCCCAGGTGCGCCCACAGGTGGCACTGCTCCGGCAGAGATGCTGCGCGCTGCTCCGTGTTCTGGTACTCCTGCAGTAACGTGCTGAAGTCCTGCAGGAGCGCAGCTGCCGGGTCCACGTCTCTCTCCATTCCTCTCTGTCTCGCTTCCAGCTGTTCAGACATATGCGGCGGGGATGAGACGTCACTGTGGGGGCTGTGAAAACACCGTTTAATTCTATCTAAATACCATTCATCAACTCCATCCTGAGCGTGCAGTACATAGAGAGAACACTCAAGCAAGACATACCAGATAAAATGCCTCTGGTGTATATATTTATATATAGATGCAATATATCTGGTATGGCTGTCTCTGGAAATCATAAAATACTCCTTATAATCGTATTTTCTCTCATAAAAAGCTGTAGTAACAGTTTTTAAAGCAATAAGCACAAGAGGTCATGCTTTACGGTGCTTTTCAACACTGGTAATTGGTGTTCTTAGGCTAAACGTGAAGCAGGGTGCATAAGACTGGTTTAACTGTGGTAAAATCACTGAAACACAAATGGTTTGTTGCGTTTTAAAGTGGCAGAAACAATATGTCAAAAGACAGTCTTCTAAAAATAAAAGCCAAAAATATACACACATTAATTCAGCATACACATTAAATATAAATTTTTAATTTTAAAATGAATTTTAATTTTCAGTAGACTTTAATTTTAATAGAACATATATATATATATATATATATACTACCATTCGAAAAGTTTGGGATCAGAATGATTTTTAATGTTTTTTACAGGAGTTTCTTATGCTCATCAAGGCATCTGTAATATTGTGAAATATTATTATGATATAAAATAACGTTTTTCTATTTTAATATACATTAAAATATAATTTATTAAGAGTCGAGGGCAAACTCAAGAGCTGGTTTCTTCTCTCCTGGTGCACTATGGGAGTCCAAGGATGCCGCTGCCCTCTTCAGACTTTGCTCTCTGATGTAGGCGTCCTGTGGCCTGGCGCTCTTCACTTCCCTCGATAGTATCCTCTGCTTTACGCCGTGGCTCGGTTCTGGGGAGGAACAGGAGGGCGACGGCCAGGCCGCGGGTGAGGATGTGGGCCGGAGGGCCGGGACCTTCCACAGGTTGAGTTTGGGAGGGTACGAAGGGGGCGGCAGGCTTGCGGTTGGCGGTTTGATGAGCTTTCCTGTCTCGGAGGACATCGAGGAAGGCGTCGCTCCGAAAGTGTGCTCACACAGGAAAGGGTAATACAGGTGAGGAGGAAGTAAAGGATGCTCTGAGTGTCTTTGTGCATGGGTTGATGCCAGGAACGGCAGCGGTGCGCTTGTGTTCGCCGTACTCGCAGGTAAGCTAAGTGCTGGGTTTAGATATGAAAGGAGTCCGGGAGCCAACGGATATCCAACACCAAGCAAAGACAGATTGAAACCCGGTGTTTCAGGGCATTCGATTTGACCCATTGACGCCGGTGGAGGATAACAGGGCAGAGAAGACGCCACCGGATCCGATTTAGGCTTTGCACCAGATGTCTGGTTGCTTAAGATGCGCCATTGCTCCGAAAGCAATGCCGCCGGTCCAGACAGACACGTTTTGGACAATCTATAGTGTCTCAGTTTTGACTCTACCTCAACCGAATGTGCTCGCAAAAGTTGCTCCTCAAGAGAGAACACGTCGGCCATCACGAGTTCAGCTTCTTGCTTTGGTCGTTTGCTTCCTCTTGAACACGTTTCCGCAGATTCGTGACTCATCACCATCGATGCATTGGTCTCCACAACCTCTTCGTCTATCTCCGCTTCTCTTTCAGATTCTCCTTTCTCACCCTCCTCCAGACTCGCCGCCGAATGCGAGGGCTCGTCTGACATCGCGACCTGCTCTGAGTGACCCTTAGTCGGGCTACGTGAGCGAACGCCTCCCTGCTGGAGCCGGAGCTGCTCTTTTTTATACGGCCAGTCGGACTCGATGAGCAGCGACAGGGAGTTCTTGCACAGGCTGTACTTCATGTGGTTGTACAGGTGTGATTTCTCCATGCACGTGAATGGACACTGGAAGCATTTGTAGTTGTAGGGTTTGCCCCATGGCCGTGGGATGTAGTGTGGCTTTTTGGGCTTGCGTTCCTTGTGTTTACAGCCCACCTTACAGTCTTCCTTCGACATGGTGCGATATGAAAACGGTCCCAAAACGTGTTTCTCTCAAAGCTGGATTTCTGAGGAGCTTGTGTGCTTATGGTTATGTGTGTGTTTGAGGACAGGTTTGCACCGAGTGTGTGTTTGTAGGATGAATTGTGTGTGTAAACATGTAAACTTGTGTTTGGTCAGGAGTGGGATCATGTGGGAGCGCAGCCATCAGATTTCAGCTGTTGAGAAAATCAAGAAAATATATGATTACATCTTTGATTCTAAAATATTATTACTTGAATAATTAAAAAATATTTTAAATTATATTTAATAATCTAGAATGTTATTAAAGAAATATTATTGTAATAATAATCTTGGATCATTTAGAATATTATGAAACAAAAATTATTATTTTAACAATTTAATAATATTTAAAAATGTAATTTAATTTAATTTAATTCATTATTAAACAATCTTATTACTGTAATAATATTTTACATTTTTGTATTTAATAATTTGGACTATTATTACAGGTAAAAATATGATTTTAATAATTTAATAATATTTTGCATTTTGAAAAAAAAAGAAAGAAAAGAAAGAAAAAAGTCCATAGTGCTGCTTCTAGTATAAAAGGTTAAAAAACCTCACATTTGGACATTTAAATTGTTATAATTTTAAATGTAAAATATTATTAATCAACAATTTATGAAATGATTGTATTTAAGGATTTACAATATTATTGCAGGTAAACAAAATATTATTTTAATAATTTAATAATATTTTAAATTACATTTAATAATTCAAAGTATTATTAAAGACAACAGCAGTAAAATGATTGAATGTTTTTTTTAGCAATATTTATTTTAATGGGCAGAATCAGATATAAAACATTGTCAGGTAAAGTAAATCTGAAACACACATCTGAAATCTGAACGAAATCTGAAATGTTTGCTACTCATTTTACTTTTGTAATGTGAAACTGGACATTCAGTGAGAATAAATGTGGGACAGGACTTAATTTTATTAATTAGAAATTCATTAGGTAGTGAAAAGTGTCTCTGTATGACAGGTGGTTGAAAATTAAGATATCGTCCGAAAAGTAATTTCAGTACATTTTAATAAAAGATTGCAAATATGCACTGATGAATCGTTCATAATAAGAGCAGGAGCGTGTCATAAGGAGTACATAGAGTCAGTTTTGATTTCACATAGCAAAGGGAAGAGATGATGAGAGACGTTTTGGTTTTCTCAGAAGTGCCGAAAGTCCTCTATCTGCCACCCTTCATTACAGCGGCGAGGTGTGTGTGTGTGTGTGTTTCTGGAGGCGGCTGCACCTGTGTGCGGCTCTCATGCTCACTGTAGTATTTACAGCAGGACCCTGAAGGTCAGCTGTAGGCACATCCTGACAAAGGGCAGAGGGACGCGAGGCTGCCCGCGTGTATGTGTGTTAATGAGAGATTGGCATCACGCCCGCGGGGCATCGTTAGCGGAGGAATGTGGGTCAAGGCAGATTGACTGCTCTTTTACCCGCTCTATCAGTCCGTCCACGGCCGTCATCTGTCTCTCTCATACATTACACCGTATCTCGTCATTCCTGTGGAGTTTTTTATCTTCTACAACCTCTGTGTTTCACACTTTCTTTGTCTTCTACAGTCAAAGTAGGAATTCCTTTTATCCTACATTTGAATGAATCAAATAAGAGTAAAACTTAATTCTTTAAGTTAAATTTTTTTTTTAAATGTGAAAGCATAACTATTTTAGAGATTTACTTTATATAATATAATGTTTTACTATTAAGTCGAGTGTTGTTTTTTCATTTTAAAGCACTTTTACAATTCATGTTTTTTTAATGCCATTTTAATGCAAAACTATTACATAAAAGCATGCATTAAGGCCTCTAATGAACAAGTTAAAAACTCTGTAAGATGAACAGAATTGTTTTTAATATAAATCTAAGGTTGCTCTTTATTTTAAGGTGTCCTTGTTACAGTGTAATTATACATTTAAGTGCTGAATAATATTAATTTACTACATGTACTTACTATATGGTTAGGGTAAAGATTTGGTTTGGCTTAGGGTTACTTGCATGTAATTATGCATAATTCATTGTTATTATAATAGTAAGTACATGTAACATGTGTAACAAGGACACCTTAAAATAAAGTGTTACCAAATCTAATTGTACTAATTAAATTTAATTTATTATATTTAAATTTTATAATAGTTTTTATAGAGCAACAAAAATAATAATCTTTAATGAAAAATAATCTTTAATAATTAAAAAATAATCTTTTTTTTGTTGCTCTGACAGATATTTATTTAATTGACAGATTTTTTTTTTAATGAAAAATAATGTATATTTTACAGTAAATAAATATACATAAAATGTCTTTTTAAAGACATCGAAAAACATTTCAAATGTTTATTTGTTTAAAATATTTTTTTTAGATAAGTTTCTAAATATTTTAACAGTTAACAATCAGAAGTCTATTAAAACCTTAACTTGAACAAAAATGATATACAATTATATTATTATTAAAATGATATAAAATAGAATTTTATTAAAGTTATTTTACTTTTTCCTCTTAAACTTCTGTTTTAATAGAAAAGAGTTTAAACAAAACATTTCATTTTTACAGAAAGGACCAACTAAACTGCTGTGCAATTTGATGTAATTTAACTAATATTTTTTTTGTTATTAATAAATGCATTAAGAATAGGACACAGTAAAAGCAATTAAATTATGGCATAATTAAAAGAGACCCACAAGAGACTAAGATATCACTCAAATGCCTCTCTGTTATGATAAAAATACGCGTTATTCTTGATTATTTATTATTTGCTCCTGGCATTTTGCTTCGGGTGGAAAGAGAGAGCAGTAAAAGAGAAGAAAATGAAGAAATGAAATAGATTACAGGCAGGAAATGAAGGGGAGGATGAAATGTCCCGCTGTGAGGCATGAGTTTTGGTGTTCGTATCTCGGGGTGTTGAGACAATGAGAGCCCCGAGTCATTTTGGTTTAAAGAAGACGAGTGGTGATGAATTTCACCAAACTTTCATCTATTACAACACTCAAAGAAAGAATGAAATCACATCTGCAACCATCTGCTGCAATCTGTCTGTCTGCAAATCCTGCCAGTGTTTTAACAGTGTTTTTTTTTGCATCATTTACAGGAACATATTGTATATGTATGTGTGTGTGTGTGTGTGTGTTTCGGTCATATTGCGGTTACGTCCCCCCTCCTCGACCCGTTCTCTGGTTTTAACTGGACATCAAACGCTGCTGTTAGCGTTAATCAATAAAATTATTTTAGAGTTGTTCTCACTGCGGGACATTCTTTGTGGTCTGTCAGTTTCAAGGCCCTCTGGGTCTGAACCCACAGGATGCTGGTCAATGACACTCGTATGAACACTCTGATCGCTGTGTGTTAAATATGTATTGTCTTGCTTCAATAGGGACGCTTGCTAAAAGCATCGACATACTGTGACAAATCCAAGAACTGATAACACACATAAACACAGGGCAACAGCAGCGAACAAAACTGATGATTGATTGAAAAGCAAATGGTCTGTCTAAGATATATTGGCATGTAATGCATTTGAAAGTTTTAGATGAAATAGATCATTGTTGTTGGGAATTTTTGTGGATGTGTTGTCATTTTGTGTAGACTGTGTGTGTGTATGTGTGGCTCGTACCTCCACAGTAGTTCAGCAGAATGAGTTGGATCGTGACGCATGAAGTTTTCTCAATTTGACTCTTGATGAAGGATCTAGAAAATAAACAATATCAAAAATATATTATATTTGATTTAAAAAAATTAGTCGACATTTAATGTTAAAAGACAATGTCTAACTTGAAAATGTCACTCTGTCTAATTGATTTAAAAAATAACATATATAAATATTTGTAAGGCTAGATTTGTTTTAAAACGTTTTTTTTTGCGTAGATGCATACTTTCCTATAAAAAGCTGTTATTGCCTATAGAAAAAGATACAGTTCATTGAACCCAAGTTGACCTTTCATGACGGGACACTATATGGGGTAAGTTGTCACATTGGAACCTACCATTCAACAGCCTATGATACATTTTTATAGCAAAATTTAAACAGAAAAACAAGTACAACATGCAAAACAATCAATAAAACAGCAGAAAAAGATAACAAATTGTACTTAAATTGATGCAGTTTCAGCTTTTGAATCCCATGTGTCAACTTGCCCCAACATAAATATGACAATGTGGCCCGAACGTTTTATTAAAATAAAAAAGAAAAGAAAAAAACTTCTCAATAATACAGTTTTGCTTCAAATTTACTTTTGTAATTTTACTTTGTATTTCAAGTGTAGTTTACTCAAACTTTTTAATCAAAACCTTGGATATTATAAACTATATAATGCACGTGAACCATGTGAATTCTCATTTTACACATTTAGTAGCATGCAATGCATTATCCATCGTATGGATTATATCACATAACATGTCACATTTGTCACATAATATCAACACAAACAGCTTCTTTTAAATGAAGTTAATCGAGACATTTTCATTTGATTGTCAGCAGTTCATATTCTGATGCACACCGCTGCATTTGAGATGTTCAGGCACAGAATGATTTCAGTTATGCATAACAATCACACAAACTGTACATAAAGTGGTTAATCTGCTCTAAACTCTTACGTCATAATAACTTTTATCCGCAGATAATGGCTTGACTTACCTGCTGTGCGTCTGTGTCATGTTCCGTTCCAGAGGCGGCCGCTGATGTGCGTTCGAGTGTTTTATGAGGGGAGAGCGATGCATGCGCGCACACACACACACACACACACACACACACACACACATGGATGAACAAGAGAGAGAGAGGCAGATATATATATTCTCTAGGAGGGATGCCTTGGGGCAGTACAATCAGGCACAGGCCCCTCCTGCCTCCCCTGCTATTGGCACAAGCTCAAGTGGGTCCAAATTAGGAAACTGGCCCGGTACAGTCCATTAAGGAGAAGTCGAGACACTTCAGTCTCGCCGTACTGGGACAGTTTGCTTAATTGGGCCGGAGTGCAATTTAAAGTCGCTGATGGAAACTTAAGCAGCCTTATCACAGCACTTTATGGACTTGTTTCTGAGTTTACTTTCAGTTTAATGTGCTTTATTGCCAATAGCAAGGACCTGTACATTCGTATTGCCAAAGCAGTATGAATACTGTGGTGCAAAGAAGTTTAAAATAAACTTAATAAAATAAAATAAAATAAAATAAAATAAAATAATTTAATTTAATTTAATTTAATTTAATTTAATTTAATTTTTGTGTAAAGCAGTGCAAAAAATTTGAATTAAATTTAATTAGTTAACTTTTAATATTAATGTGAAAGTTTACTCAGAAATAAAATAAAATAAATCCTGCCCAAGGTGGTGCAAAAAAAGTGTTAACATTTAACACATAATTTGGACATTAATGTGATAGTTTATTCATAAATAAAATAAAATAAATTAAAATGAATTAAATATTCCCCAAAGCAGTGCATAATTAAATAATTAAATGAAATTAAATATTGCCTGAAGCAGTGCAAAAAATGTTTAACCATTCAAATAAAACTGTATTTGAATTAAAATAAAATAAATTAAATTAGTTGCTTCAAAATGAAATAAAATTAAATTAATATATATTTAATTAAAATATATTATTAATAATGCTGATTTATTAATAATAATAATAATCAGATATTAACAACTCGCATTTTTTACAAGCAATGCAGTGCAATTTTAAATTTTAACACTAATGTTAAATGTCTTTTGTGGATGGATTGACATGAAGGTGAATAAATGCTTCATTTTTGAGTGAACTATTCAGTTGAGTATTGGAGTGAAATTTAATGTCACAGTCAGAAATGTCCCTTTACTTTATGGACTTCTGTCTCGAACTCTCTGTCTGCATTCGCGGTTTGACCCAGTTTGTGTCTGTAGACGAGCATAAAGCTGCAGAATCAAGTTTTAATGTGCATTGCTAACAGTGCACGACAGATCGGTAAATAAAGGCCGGCCACCATTTATCATTCATAACATATATGTGGTTTGGATGGAGAAAGCTGAAAGTAGAGATGAAAAATAAGCTTTCTGAATAATCTAAAGGACTCCAGTTCTCCATATGGTTGAGATGTTTCAGTACTGTCCTCATCAGTGTTTTTGTGGTCGGGTCTGTCGGTGGTTCTCCAGCGTAATGCAGTGGTCTCTCTCCACAACCTGCATAATTTAATATCTTTAAAGCAAACTAGCCACAAAATTCACTCACGACTGCAATAGTTAAAAACAACATCTCTGAGAGAAGTTCATGGTTTGTCTCTGAGGAAACAGATACGATGTTTGAGTAACAGTAGTCAAAAAAAGCTTGATGTAAATGAAATAGTTATGAAGTTCTTTTTACATTTATTCAAAATGTAGTGTAAGAAAATTATAAAGTGACTTACAAATAAGAATAATACAAATCAAAGTGATTATTTTATTATTTTTACTTGTATAAGCTCACATAGCATTAAAAAAGTGAGTCTTTTGTCTATAAGTTGATATCGGTAGCAATGTGTAATGTTTTTAAAGAGTTTGGTAATGAAAATTCAATTGTCTCAACTCAAAAAGTCTTCAAAAATCATTATTAATCATCTTTTTTTTGTCTTGTTTCCTCCTAAAATGACTGATCATAATAAGCAAACATTTATTTGAGAAGCAAAATTGCATAATATATTATGACTTGTTTTCAAAGAGTGTAATAATAATCATTAACTATTTAAATTAAATATGAATTCAATTACATATTGTTATTACATTGACAAAATGTGTTTAGGTTATCCTCCTTCCTGGAGGATCAGGCGTGCTGTCAGACACATGAGAGGAGATGAACTGTGACAGCGTGATCCGTAGGGCCTAACCATCTGTAGAAACAGAGAGAGAGAGCGAGGAGGCTGAGAAAGACAGAATAAATAGTTATAGGTGAAAGAGAGAAACCTGTCCATGTTATGAGCAAAATATAGACAGTTTATGAGGAATAATTCACTCAAAAATTACATTTCTGTCATTGACTCACTGTAGTCACATCATAGTCTTTTTTAATATATATACATACATATATATATATATATATAATATATTGTATTAGCTGTTATTTTTGTATTTTCCATTTTCATTTTCATTTTAGTTAGTTTCAGTAATTTTGTTGTAATATTTGTTTTAATATGTTTGTATAGGTTTTTAAATTTATATATTAATATTTATTAATTTGTTAATAGTAGACATTATTGTAGTACACATGAGAATATCAGTCTACCAACTACTTTTCTTTAAAATTAAAATAAATTTTCACATCTTTAAGATTTATAAGCTAGACTCATAAAGAGATGTATTGTATTATATTGTTGCTAAATTATATTAAACTTACAACTTATAGGTGAAAGAGAGAGACCCTTCCTCTGCTATGAGCAAAATATAGGGTGTTTATGAGGAATAATTAATCCAAAGATTTACATTTCTGTCATTTACTTGCTGATATGTCACATGGTGCCATTTACCAAGTTGCATAAAAATCATTATAAAAGTCATTTATATGGCCTGTACATATTATTTAATATTTTACTAAAGTCATTTGATAGATTTGAGTCAGGAACAGACCAAAGTTTAATTTACAGTAATTGCAAAAAAATATTTTCTTACTTAGTATCTTTGTTTTGCTTTCCATTACAAATATCTAAAAATTCAAGGTATAAAGATACATTTAATTGAGAAGGAAAATGACTTTAGATATTAAGTCGTTTTCTGAAAAATTTATAAAAATTAAAACAAGAAAAAAAAATTAAGAAAAAAAAGTCTTGTTTTTCTTTTCAATCAAGTTTATTTTTCTTACCCTACTGACAGATTTTTTTTCTTCTAGTTTTAATCAAAAACTCACTTAATTTTGATACATTTTAAATTTGAAACAAGGCTTAATATCGTAAGCAGTAATTTTGCTTCTCAAATAAATGCATCTTGATTTAAGAATGTTTAGATACAAAGCAAAAATACAGTAAGTCAGTAAGACTAGCTCAGGAGTTGCATCTGAGAAAAAGATGCTAATCTCACATGTATCTCCTCTGGAGTTTAAGAAGAAATGTCTCAAACTATGCTCAGATCTGTCAAAATAAATCTGCAAGTCAAAATTTCACACAAGCTAAGCCGCTGTACACATTGATTTTATAGCATTTTATTACTGCAAGTCTCATTAGTGACTTTTTTATTTCTCCTAAAGAAACATCTGAAACAAAGTACTTGAATGAAATGCACAGAGTCTCCTGATCTATGAAAGAGCATCCTCTGAGCATTAAAAAATGTCCTTGAGCACTTTTTTCCACATTATTTGAATCTGCTCACTGATTCTTGAGTGTGTGTACCTGAAGATAATGAACTGGATTTCTGTGTGTGTATGAACCTCAAGATGAAGTAGAGATTGTGTGTCCGTATGTTCAGGCATCTGTGAGCATGACAGCTCGACTTCATTATGAGTCAGAGAGAGCAACCTTAGGCCCACACACACACACACACACACACACACACACACACACACACACACACGCTGCTGGGTCAATGCAGCGATCCAGCTGTGCAGTTATACATTTTCACAGGGTACATCATTACATTAATATCAACACATTTATCAAAGGAGATTACACACACACACACATACTCCTACACGGTAAGGTCCTAAACTAGTTTATAATAATAAGAAAACGTCATGATAATTCTACATAACGTTTGTGTGCATATTAGTATAATTAAGGTACTATTATAGTTTTTATTTTAATAGAGTTTAAATAAACATACAAGTAACACACTTTCGCTGGAAAGATTTTTAAATGTTTTTAAAAGAAGTCTTTTCTGCTCACCAAGGCTGCATTTATTGCATTTAAGGCTGCATATTATGAAATAATATTACAATATAAAATAACTGTTTTCTATGTGAATATATGTTAAACTGTAATTTATTCTTGTGATGCGCAGCTGAATTTTCAGCATCATTACTCCAGTCTTCAGTGTCACATGATCTTCAGAAATCATTCTAATATGCTGATCTGCTGCTCAAGAAACATTTATTATTGTTATTATTTCTTCTTTTTATGTTGAAAATAATTTAATAATTTGTGGAAACTGTTATATATATATTTTTCAGGATTCAGCATTTATTTGAAATAGAAATCTTTTACTGTCACTTTTGATCAATTTAACGTGTCCTTGCTGATTAAAACTATTAATGTCTTTTTTCAGCTCTTCTTCAAACATTCACTGTAAGTTAATTGTATGCCTTGTTTTGTTCTCCTCACGTTTTCACCATTTGTCTGTAAAATGTTCCTGAGGTGTGTGATTGTTTATACATATTAGACCACAGATTTAATGCATAAGTTTATATTTTAGGGAGGGCTCTCGTGTGTGTGTGTGTGTGTGAGCGACTAAGCACACGGTTTAAGTGTTTTGAGACTCTGTCTGTTTTCAGCCCTGTGGATTTGAACGCTAACAGTGGCACTCTTAGCTAATGCTGTGAGGCACATTAAGAAAACTCATATCGCTCTCAGCAAATATAAATTATTCAACTAACCCTTCTTTCTTTCTTTGCCTCTCCTTCCTCTGCCCCTCTCTCTCTGTTTCTTTCCTTTTATCCCTCTATACGTTAACAATAGTAGAATGAAGCAATTCTTTAACTGATTCGATTTGTATACATTTGTTTTTGTTGATATTTAAAATTTGTTACA